ATGAAAAACAACATTGAAAAAAGATCAAAAGAAAAGTGTTTTATGACAAAAAAAGAGTGCAAACACAAATCGGGCCAAGCAGAAGGGTGGAAAGGTAACGGTGATGTAACAGGGTCACATTTTCACTTGCCAAATGCAATATTAAAGGTTTTTGGGAGGAATATTTTGAGCATTTTGGAAGCCTGAGAGCGAGGGACAAACACCAGGAACATTGCACTGCACCAATATTTGCAGCAATGAGAGTCAGATACTTTGTTTTAGAATAAAGCCAGCGCTCAATTTGTGTGTGTGTGTGTGTGTGTGTGTGTGTGTGTGTGTGTGTGCGTGTGTGAATACTCACTTTTTGAGAATTCACGTAGAATGGGTCCAGATCCTCCAGTGGTATCGCCGCCATTCCCTTAGGGAGGTCTCCATAGATGTAGGGCAGGCTCTTCCCAGCCTCCAGGTCACTGTTGGGTTTGGGCTTGTTCTCGTCATCGTCGTCACGGTAGCTGCTGTCCTGCTTGGGCGGCTTTTTGTTCTTCTCCTCTTGGATGCGCTGCTCAAGGACCGCCAAAGATTCTGGAGTAAACTTCCTGAAGCTGTCAGGTCCTGGCGGTGCAAGAAGGGGTGCGGCCATGTTTTCATCCTGCAGCTACTTAGTCTTTAGGTTTGTACCATCCACGGTAGCAGCTCTGCGGGAAGCAGGAGGGGGGGAATATAACATGAAATGACGTACTACAAAAATGGTGGCCTGAAATTAACAGTTAGCTGGGTGCCCATTTAGAAAGATTACAGAAAAGGGAGACAATAAAGCTGCAAAATGTTATTTTATGCACCAAAAGAACAAGAAAATGTTGAGATCTTGTAATGTTAAATATATATATATATATATGTGTGTGTGTGTGTGTGTGTGTGTGTGTGTATAAGCATTTGCAGGCTAACAGATCTCCTCCATCTACTTTATCTCCATTAAGGAAGTGAGCTGAAGAGAACCATTAACAGACATTTGTTAAATGATCCTCTGAAGCAGCAGAGTGTCTGGTTGACTTAAATAAAGAGAATATTTTAGATAAGAGTGTTAAAGAGCAACGCATAATGGTTATTCTCATAAGACGGGGGAAATATCAGATAATATACTGAGGAAGCCTCTTGGATGAGAGGTTTTCACAAGCCTAAAGAAGCCCAGTTCTTATTTCAAGCTTTCTAGTCAACCATGACCTGGATGACTGTGAAGCTACACAGGCAAATGTGTAGGTTTATATAAAAACATGCATATTCAGTCATTTTCAACCTTTGAGGAGCTGTTTTACCAAGAACTCCAAACTCCCTCTCGCAGCCTGAGATCTTCTAATCGAAGGCTGTTGGTAGTCCCACGAACTCGTTTTAAGACCAGAGGTGATAGATCTTTTAGAGCGGTGGCCCCCAGGTTGTGGAACGCTCTCCCTACATCATTACGTTGCCTTGATTGTATTTATTCTTTTAAAAAGCAGCTTAAGACTCATTTATTTAGATTGGCTTTTAATTAGATTTGTGCTGTGTTTTATTATTAATGTATTTTATGTATTTCTGTTTTATATTACCGTGAAGCACTTTGTGGTTTTTATCCTGTGAATAGTGCTATATAAATAAATTGATTTGATTTGAAACCAGTGGTAAATGCTTCAGTTGATGAATATGGTCGGTTTTGCCATTTCACCTCAGGTTGTGTTTTTTTATTGGTTACATATATTTGCGTTGCCATGGTAAATCAGATGTTGCACAGGTTAACAAACAAATATGTAAATATTAAAGAAGATGTATTTTATAATTAATTGAATGAAGATCAAGTTCCACCTGCACAAAACATCAAACCACAGGTTTAAAAATCTCACCGCTCATGACTCTGTTAAACAAAAAGGCCTTACAGTAAAGGCTTTCTCCAAAACGCAAAGAGGGGAACATGACAAATGTTTAAGCTGCAGGAACACCGGGCGGTGCTGAAGCAAAGAGGAAGGAGCTGAAATTAGAGTTTAGTTAAGCCAGACTTGAAAAATTAACGAAATCATTAGAATTTTTGGAGGATTTCTAAACCATCACCCTCCCCTCTCTTCGCCCTGTGTTCCACCTGCTGCTGCAGCGCAAAATCCTTTCATTTCAACAGGAGCAAGGTGTCTGCAGCCCGAACAGGACAGGCGGCCATATTTGAGTCAGCGGGCCCGTCACTTCCCTGCCTCCCTCTTACATAACAGCGTCTAATTGAAATGTTCGACGCGTTAAAGCTGGCATCACACGGGAAAGACTCCACTCTGCGTGTCCCGACACTCGGTGGAAAAAGCACAGGAGACGTGAAGCGGGTGAGGCGAGAGGTCTGTTTTAAAATGGACACCAGAACCTCGGAGCCTTCTGCTGCGAGGCTGGCGCTGTCCGCTTCAGCACTGCACGAGCTCATATTCATACACGTGCGCGCGCACGTGAGTGCCTACAAAAAAAAGGTGCGGGGGGTGCACACAACCCTCCGTTCTTTTCTTTTTTCTTTTTCTTCCCCGACACCTTCAGGCCTCTAGTTTATCCTTCAAATCTCCTCAATTATTAAGTCGTGGTGGCAACACTCGTCTCGTTATCTGTCCCATCGGCTGCTGCTTATGTTTAAGCCTAGCAGTGTCACACAGAAACGGAGAACATTCTGGCATCTTCTCGGTCAAATCAACTTGTTTCCTAAAGGTTTGAATTAGAGAGCCACTGCGTTTCCAATCTGAGCTTCACAGAGAAGCTGTGGGTTATACTGCGCAGTGAAGTGGCCCGCTACAACCAAATTGGCCAAAGCTGTATTGCTGCAGTGGGAGGTTTACATGTTAAAAATTGTCACGCTGAGGTAAGCGCAACCGTGGATCAAAGTCACGAGTGTGGTGTCGATGTAAAAATAACAATCAGGTACATTTTGTCCTCCCTGTGAAACAGCAAACATGGTTTTGTTTTTCTTGGGGTTTTTTTTGTCCTCTCCGGGATGTTCTGTGCGCTTTTGCGCGTTGTCTTCAAGGATCTGCACCACACCCGTGAAGCCATGTCGACTGCCAAATCAATAAGGCTCTATCTGTGCACAAATAAGCCAGGCTGCGAAGCTAAAAGTAACACACAGTCTGCACCACGGCGTTAAACACGACGATTAGAAAACAGCAATGCTCGTGTCACGCCAAAATCACCTGGAGGAATGCAAATTTCCTGTCTGTCGGTGATGGGAAGAAGATCGGGCTACTTACATAGCATCAGCCCCTTCTTGAAGCCTTGTGGGGTTTCAAGTGCATCATCCTTTAGTCCGGAGGATATAAAGAAAAAAGCCCAAATTAAAAATAAAAACCTACAAAGTTTTCTGGGCTTCGAAGAAGTCAGACGGCGCCCTGCCTGAAGCCTAACCTATGAGACATTTTCTCCTCCCTCCCCTGTTTTCTAATCAGTACCTCCGATCCTCGGTGAAATGGTTAATCTGATAAATTCCGACAACAACTGGCTGTTAAATATATTCCCCCCCTCTTCGCACTGGTCCAGCCGGTAGATGCCCATCGAGCGCAGACACCCTGTTTCGTCGCGCTCGCTCCCCCAAAAAAAGATGCGGGGCAGTGTGCAGCTCTGCGACATTTAGGCTACGCAGGGATAGCCTACCGACGGAGAGAAAATCTGCCCTCACCTACCGACGCGCGCCAGGCTTTCCCCCCAACGGTTACAAACGAAGGATACTCACTTCGTAAGCGTTACAATGAATCCAGAGAGCCGTTGCAGGACTGCAGATGTGAAAAAGCTCGGGGAGAAACTGCGGTTGTCGCCATATTGTTGCTGCTACCTTCCCCCTCAGCGCGAGCGGTTTTCCTGCATAATTGATGACTCTCAGCAGAATGTGAGGGAGTGTCGGAGAGCGCGTTTCGTAAAATCGTAAAGGTCATTTAGGCCCGCAGACTCCAAACCCCCCCAGTGAGCGCCTCACAGCACAGGATCAGGGATGATCCATGGTGAGAGACTGTGCGCAGAAAACACGCTCAAGGTTTTTCTGACAAAACGCATTGGCTCACTGTGTGAGCAGTGTGTGTGTGCAGTGTGTGTGTAGTGTGTGTGTAATGCAGGAATTTATCATGTGTAGGCATTCAAATAGGGGAGGCCACTACATGTCTGAGATATGGGGAGAAAATAATAGTTTCTTGAAAGACATTAAAGCTGATGAGTGTATGAAAAGACAGTTGCGCACACGCGCGCGCGAACACACAACTGACGCCTTAATTGTTTCTCTTTCTCACATGTTACACATCAGTGTTATAAACATTTGTTCACTTATCGTCACATACTTGCAAATATATTATTTAAGCCGAGCACCTCATCTCCAAATGACTGTTTTCACTTACAGGCCTCCTCCAGCACTTCGCCCTTTAATAGCACAAATTGAAATGCAAATAGGCAGCTCTTAATCCGCTAACCTGCCCTCTGTCTTTTTGCTGTTACGTAATGCGCGCGCTCGTGTGTGAATCAATGCAAACGGAGCCTTAAAATATATCAAGAGCTTTCACATTTCTGTAGAGTAGCTGCTTTTCCGTTAAAACTTTTTTTTACGCAGATCAAAAGAGCTGAACGTGCACCTGACGTCATCGGTGGTCGGAACAGTTTCTGTTTGCGATCAAAAATACACATATATGTTTATATATACATTTATGAAGGAAAAGAGTTGAAACTAAATGGAGTTAAAAGGTTTTCTCCTGTGTCTGAACGTCTGCTATTTGACTGCGTTATCCACTTCGCCACAGAAGAGTGAGTACCTGCACAAGTTTTAGTGTTATTTCTTCTTTTCCTCCACTTTTTAGTAAAGTAT